CAAAAATTTATTGTTGCATTTCTGAAGACTAGAAGTCCAAGATCAAGGTTTCCACAGGATTAGTTTCTTCTGCGGGCTGTGTGAGAGAGAATGTGTTCCATGCCTCTCACCCAGCTTCTGGTGCTTTGTTGCCCTTGACATTCTGTGGCTCGTAGAAGCATTACCCCAACCTCTGCCTTTAGCCTCACATGTTCTCCCTGTATGCGTGCCTGTCTCCAAATTTCCCCTTTATTTGAGGACACCAGTCTATTGAATAAAGGCCCACCATAACAACCCCATTTTAACCTGATTATGTTTGTAAAGACCCTATATCCAAATAAACAAAATCTGAGGAACTGGAGATTCCTCAGTATATGAATTTTGGGGGGATACAATTCAACAGTGACTACAGGAACGCAGCATGAGACAATTTCTGGAATAATGAAAATGTAGTGGTGACATAGTATGTACACAGAGAGAACAATGTCTATAGCTGTACACTTGTGATTTGTGCATTTTGCTCTATGGTAATTATACAGAATAGTTTCACTGCTCTAATAATCCTCTGTACTCTGCTTACTCATCCCTACCTTAACCCCTGGCGGTCCGTGATCTTTTTACTGCCTCCACAGTTTCGTCTTTTTCCAGAATATTGTGTAGTTGGAATCATACAGATTATAGCCTTTTCAGATTGGCTTCTTTCAATTAGTAGTATTCATTTAAGTTTCCTTCAGGTCTTTTCATGGCTTGATGGCTCATTTCTTTTTACCACTGAGTAATACTCCATTGTCTGGATGTACCACAGTTTATTGATCCATACACTTACTGAAGGACATCTTGGTTGCCCCCAAGTTTTGACAATTATGAATAAAGCTGCTATAAACATCTGAGTGCAGGCTTTTTTGTGGACATAGTTTTTAATTCATTTGGGTAAATACCAAAAAGCAGGATTGCTGGATTATATGTTAAGAGTATGTTTAGTTTTGTAAGAAACTGCCAAATTATCTCCCAAAGTGACTGTGCCATTTGGCATTCACACCAGCAATAAATGAGAGTCCCTGGTGTNTCTTTTTACTGCCTCCACAGTTTCGTCTTTTTCCAGAATATTGTGTAGTTGGAATCATACAAATTATAGCCTTTTCAGATTGGCTTCTTTCAATTAGTAGTATTCATTTAAGTTTCCTTCAGGTCTTTTCATGGCTTGATGGCTCATTTCTTTTTACCACTGAGTAATACTCCATTGTCTGGATGTACCACAGTTTATTGATCCATACACTTACTGAAGGACATCTTGGTTGCCCCCAAGTTTTGACAATTATGAATAAAGCTGCTATAAACATCTGAGTGCAGGCTTTTTTGTGGACATAGTTTTTAACTCATTTGGGTAAATACCAAAAAGCAGGATTGCTGGATTATATGTTAAGAGTATGTTTAGTTTTGTAAGAAACTACCAAATTGTCTCCCAAAGTGACTGTGCCATTTGGCATTCACACCAGCAATAAATGAGAGTCCCTGGTGTTCCACACCTTGGCCAGCATTTGGTGTATCCATGTTTGGACTTTCACCATCGTAACAGGCTTGTAGTGGTATCTCACCATTGTTTTAAATTGCAGCTTCCTAGTGGCATAGGATGTTGAGCATCTTTCAATATGTTTATTTACCATATGAATACCTTCTTTGGGGAGGTGTCCAGATCTTTTGCCCATTTTAAAATCAGGTTAAAAAAGTGCTCAACAATGCTAACAATCAGGGCAACGAAAATAAAAACCATGTTGAGATATCATCTTACCCCGGTTAGATTGGCCAGTATTAAAAAGACTGAGAATAACAAATGCTGGCAAGGATGTAGAGAAAGGGGAATCCTCCTACATTGTTGGTGGGACTGTAAAATAGTACATAGAAAACAGTATGGAGGTTTCTGAAACAACTAAAGATAGAATTACCATAAATTCCAGCTATCCCTCTTCTGGATATATACCCAAAGGAATGGAAATCGTCATGATGAAGGGATACCTACACTCCCATGTTCATTGTAGCTCTATTTACAATAGCCAGAATATGGAACCAACTTAAATGTCTGTCAATGGATGACTGGATAAAGAAAATGTGGTTTATA